TATCAAACTACATTTTCAAGTACGCTTCAACTGTGCCAAAGATCTAGAAGCCTTTGGAAGCCTTGGAATTTGCATCCATGCTGTGCAAATTAACCGGTTTAAGATGCTCTGTGCCTGATTACTGTTTAAGAGGCGCGTGGATTTCTACATTAGCCTCTGTTTGGTAGCCTTTCTTGATGGTTGCCTTATWACTTAATTTCAAAAAACAGAAAAATTGATGTTTTTTCAGTACTGTGAACTAAATGCTATTTTAAGATAAAAGCATTTCCTCGAGAACAGTGACACGCAGGATAAGGGGCAAAAACAGCAGCAGATCTGTTAGTCCCCAAGAGATCCACTCCAGGGGAACAGTTCCCATCCATACACCACGGCTGCAGGATTGCCGCGAGGATTTTGCYGTGTCCCTCCATCCCACCACTGTATCCACAGTGGAGTTTCCTGACACACCGTGAACTGTGCTGGTGCATGCAGGGTATTTCCAGAGCCCCCCAGGGAAGAGCCTCCCACGGAGCAGTCTCCCCGCGCCCATGGCGCTCCGTGGAGCGCTTCCCAAGCGGCGGAGCACGCGGCAGCGCTGCCAGGCCCCCCCGCGTGCAGCCTCTGGGTGCTGCAAGGCAGMGCCGAGCAGCTCCGGCCGCTCCTTCCCACGTGAGCTCTGCACCAGGAGCACCCGCGGCCCCGTCCTCCCATCACCTGTTTCCATCCTGTTCAACAGCAAAACGCCGACCATGGTCTTGTCCAGGACCAGCTGCAGCCTAAGGGACGCTTTTATAGAGATTAATTAACTTGACGAACTGATCTCTGTGAGACCTTGCATGAGAATTTAAGGTGTGTGTGGGGAGGGAAGCATCACCTTCCTGATTGAGGTGCTTGCTGCAGCAGGAGGAGATCAGCAAGCAGAAGCGAGGCAGCTGATGCCTCCAAGAGGAAGCACATGCAGAGAAATCTTAGCAAGGTGGAGCTCGCTCCTCCTGCATTAGAGGTGCTGCTCCCGGGCGGAGGCTCCTGGGACGCGAGAGCAAAAGCAAAGAGCTGGAGGCCACCCTGCTCTTCAACCTCCTGTTGGTTAAAGGGGGGTTATGCTCTGCAATCTGTTTCTATTTTCAACACAAATCTCCCCAACGGGCCTTTAAGGTATGAGGAAACGAGAATAAGCAAGATGTTATCTTGCAGCTTTCTGTGCAACCTTTGGTGCTCTTTCAACAGAGGTTACGAGAGCTTCTGAGGGTAGATCGTGAGCAAATGATTAAGCTCACCATCTGATAACTCGCCAGCAGAGCTGCAGCTTCAGAAACCCCCCAAAGCCAAGTGCGCGGGGCAGAAATCTCCGCAGGCTGCTCCCAAGGGCTGCCGAGGGACGCGCAAAGCGGAGCTTAGCACCAGCACCACTCTGCAGAAAGCAGAAGGCCGATGCCCGCAGCGCACGGAGGCGCCCACCACGGCGCCCGGGCACTTCCTCCGGAAACGAGCTCCTGATAAGAGCTAGGACCAGACCAGATTGAGCACCCAGAGACTTGTTTGTGCTCAGCGAGGAAGCCCGCAGTGCCAGCTCCCATCCAGGCCTAAACTGCAGAGCCCTGTTCTCTTGTGAAGCTCAATGGAGACCCATGCCCCAAGGGTTTTCTCACAAACATGTGCCAACAGCACCTGCATTTATCATCCCTCACTGCCCTCCCAAGCTGCAGCATAAGCCTAAACTAACTGGAGCTTCATTGGCTTTTGCGGTCACTAACAATGGTACTGGTTTCGTTTGGTAAACGCTTGGGAGAACTCCAAACAGGCTGTGCTGGAGTTATCAGTGGACAGAGGAAAGGGACAGAATAGCAGAAACATTTCAGCCACTGCCAAGTCAGGCTCAGCAGAAGGAAAGCTAATGAACAAGCTAGGTCACCCTTTGGAGAAGCAAACTGCCAAAGAGGCAGCGATGCCCATGCTCCAGCCTGCATCACCAAAGCTCTCRCTGCCAGGAGGTGAGGAGCAAGGCCCAGAGAGGAGCCAGGTTGTCCACGTTTTGGCAGGAACAGGCGGCTCTGCGTGCACAGGCCTCGGCAGCAGGCAGCTCAACTCAGACAAAACCAGCCYGGTTACCAGGCTGTCCCCATGAGGAGGTGGGAACTTGCAATCCTGCGCAGACCCCCGTGGAAATACCCATACCTGTGACCAGCCTTTTGCTCCGGCTGTCTTTAACAGACCAGTCTTTATTCAGTATCTGCTAAATGCCCAAGATAACRACACCAATTTACCTTCAGTTGCCAACGACCTCCAGGTGCCTGAAGGCCAAGACTCTGCCTGCCCGTGTCTTTTATGTCATCTCTGTCTCACCTCCTGGCCCTGCTCCAGCCACCTGGGTGCCTCTCCCCTAAGGAGCTGCTCTTCAGCACATGCACRAGGAGTGGGGGACATAGATAAGCCCTGGAGCCACTGCTGTGACACTGCATTGCTGCAGCGATAAGCTGGTCCTACCAGGCACACGAGTTCACAGATGAGCTTCAAAAGAGAAGTGGGTGCCTAAAAACCCATTAGCGTGACAATTCCAAAGTCTTCCAGCCAACGAGAACATCACGCTGGAAAGTTCCTCCTCATCCACAACAGCCCTTCTCCGCSAGGGTAGAACGTGGAATAAAACTCTTCACAAATCAGTAGCTGCCCATTTTCCAAAGCAGTTTTGCTGCTGTTTACAGCTCTTCCCACTGAAAGGTTCATCTGAAATGTCAGCACTCTGACAGCAAGAACCTTCTTGTCATTTCCAGCCTAAGTCAGTGCACAACTAGGTCATGCCCATGTGCACTTGCTCCTATACTAAGGGAAGACAGAAAACCCGCACTACTGAGAGAAGACCTGACACTAGGGCCACATATTCCAGCAAGGAAAAACACTGCCAAAGATCAAGTGGGCAAAGCACAGTCTAAACATTACAAGCCTAATCAGACCTGCATTGCAGCAGCATGGTGTGTGAACCACAGGGATGGACTTTGCGAAGGGAGCATGGGCTTCACGTCTGACTACAAGCTGAACTGCAATGTCCCCGTCAGAGGCAACAAACCTCAACTCCACCCACCAGCAAATGGCCTAAACATATAAAGTATTCCAAGTTTTCGTCACCTGAGCAATTAGAAAATCTAATCACAAAGATTCCTGCTGGGCTAAGAGCTGGGCTAAGAGCACTTCATACTGAAAGCATCTATTTTTATATTTGAGATTGTTAATCAATATAATAACCCATTTCCGACTGAAAGAGCATTCAAAGGCATCGCATATACTAGCGTTTAATAGTCAAGTGGCCCAAGCACCAAGCACATCCAAAGCAATCAGGAATTTCAGTAAAGCCATATCTGCGGTTTCAAAGGAAACAAATATGACGAGACCAAATATGCTCCAAACATGACAAAACAGAACACGACATCTCCAAACACGACGAGAGCTCCAGGAGYGTGGCAGGACGTATCTATCACCTTGGATTCAGAAACAGAACCCGYGTGCTCTGAAGGAGCCCAGTGAAAGCGGGTCAGCAGTCCAAGAAAGGCCACGTTGAAGGTAAAGTATCAAACTGAGTCATAATGCTTCTTGACAGCTAATCCTGCACAAAATTCCGAAAGACACGACCCCAAGGACCACAGGAAAGGTCTGGAGTTTCGCCAAGACACCATCAAAACGATTTGGTCAGATCTTTTCTCATGATATTTATAAAYGCTGGGCTGAGAATAGGAAAAAGATATTTTTACCTACATACTGCTAGGTTAGTCCGCGGTTAGACTTTCCTGAGAGACACTCTGGTCCTGCTGCTGCATCCCCACCCCWTCAGAAGCTACTGAGGCAACAGATCAAGCACGTCTGGAGAAGCAGAGGGAAGGACAGGGAATCCAGCCTCTGGATATGCCATAATCCCACTGCTGCCGTCCAGGACCTCTCGAGCCACAGTCTCACAGAGAGACGGTGCTCAGGATATCAGCCACCAGCGGCTGCACCCCGTGTGCCAGGTGAGCTGGGAATCCTCATCTCCTGCCCTGCACCTCCAGCTCCCACAGTACCAGCCCTGCCAGCAACAGGGCAAGCCGAGATGCAAGTACCTGCCCCATTTGTCTCTGAAAAATTGGGTGCCAGATGATGATGCTGCACCTCCATATCCACAGTTCGGTTTTAACCAAGTTACACAGTGTTTCCAAACAAACAGGAGTCACCAAACCTGCAGCCTGGTTATCTCRGCCTCCTTTACAAGCAGAGGGAAAAAGAAAAAAAAAAGATAGAAAATCCTGTTTTACAGCCTTTTAGATGAAAAATGACCCTTCTGCTCACTGGTGGCCGGGCACAGCCACCCGCATGGGTGATGCCTGCGGCAGAGCCGCCAGCGCGGCCGCTCGCCGGAGCCACCGCCGTGTCCTTGGCAGCACGAGGTCTACGCAGGCAAGAGCCAGCAGAGCAAACCCCAGAACAGCCAGCAGAGCAAACCCCAACCGCCTGGGAACTCAAGGGGCTTTACCAACCTCGGGGAGGCTCTGGGTGCTCCCTGGAGAAGCCGCCGTCCCGCATGCGTGTCCCTGGCCGGCAGCCGCCCGTGCCAGCACGGTTGGTGCCGCTGAGCTCCCGGTCCTGCAGCAGCAAACAGGTTTATTAGCCAAAGCCTGAGGAAAGCAGACGTTTTGTCTGGACTCRGCACCTGCACCGACCCCTCCGCTGCTGCAGAGATGGGATCCTCTGGCCACAAGTGGCGGCTCTCGGGAAAGGCTGGTGCTCCCGGAGCCGGCCGAGGTCCCCAGGCCGGTCGACGCCAGCCCCTTGGCCCTTGTGCTCCGGCAGGAAAAGCTAAGACTAACAGGAAAAAAAAGTTTACCTCATTAGGCGCTGCTGGCTCCGCTCCCAGAGCCCTTCTAGGCAACGCTTTTCCTGGGAATATTCGTCCTCCCGAACAGCATCACTCACAGCGACGCAGCCTCCAGAGCTAACCCGGACCTCCCCGGACCCTCGCTAATACCGTGCCCAGGGATGCGTATCCGCAACCTTACCTGTCCCTGCGCCCCGGCAGGCGAGGACAACCTCTTAAGCGGCAGGACCGGCCACAAGAACCTTGGCAAGGGGCGAGCTCAGCCAGTGCACAGTCCTTCCCATGCCCTTCTCCGCACCGGGCTTAGTCCCAGTCCCCATCCCTGCCCTCCTAGGCCATTCCAGAGGGCACTCCCAAATATTTGTTAGCTCAGCCCAGCAAAGTTATCCGCAATCCTCTCTGTACACAAGGTTTTTAAGTCCAACCCGGTTATTTATTGACCTCTAGACAAGCGCTGCCCATGGAGCGAGCGGATAGGAGAGAAACAAGTGACTGGGCAGGACCGGGAGGGGGAAAGGAGCCGGGCCAAGGGCCAGTTCCATCCCCTCGGCCCCCTGCTAGGGAAGCCTCCCTTACATCGGGCTGCCCTTTGATAACACCTCTTCCCGCTCGGATATTTTGGTTTTGGCGTTATCAGCGAGCGGGGCGAGTTACAGTAACCAGCGAGGAGAACACCTCCAGGAACACCGCGCGGAGGGAGGCAGCGGATCCGCTCCCTCCCTCCGCCGTCTCCGCTCCGCGCTGCCCACTCGCAGGCAGCCCGTGGGTAAATAGAGCGGCTGCCGCTCGGAGCCCGGCGGCAGCGAGTGACGGCGAGGACGACGGGCGCTTACAGCCGCTCTTCCTCCCGCGCAGTCTGCCTCAGGCTGGGGAGCCGGCGGGCACCGCGCGAAGGGAGGAGATGGCCAGACACCGGGAGGAGGAGGAGGAGGAGCGGGGAGGAAGGGCAGCAGCCGCTTCTCGAGGCTCCCCCGCGCCGCGCGGGCCGGGGGGCGGTTTTGCCCGGCCCGGTTCGGCTCGGCGCTGCCCGGCCCGGTTCGGCGCTAACCGGCGCTCAGGACAAAGGCGCGGCGGGCTGCGGCTCGCGCTCCTACCCACCCGCTCCAAGTTCCCGCATCCTCCCCCGGGCGTTTGCAACGGGGGGGACGCGGGGAGCAGCGCAGACACCCCGGCCGCGCCCCGCGCAGCCCCCCAGGCGCCCCCCAGCACCTGCGCTCCGGCACCGGGACCTACCGGGACCCACCGGCACGGGACTCACCGGGACCCACCGGCACCAGCACCACCGGCACGGGACTCCTCACCGGGACCCGCCGCCGCCGCCGCCGCCTCCTTTGTTGCCGCCGCGGCCGCGGCATCTGCGCGGGGACCCC